TTTATTACTATAATAAAGATTCTGTATTTCCATATGTGATTCCTCTATCTGTGTCACAATAGAAAATCAAATTTTCCAATAATCTTATGTTTAATTATGGATGCCCCTGTGGTCAGTTTTTTGTTTTGCATTTGGAAGGCTTATTTTAACAGACGTGTTGCTTTTTGATAGTCAAGTTTTTCCTTTTTAGCTTAAATTTTCCAATAAAGCATGTAACTTAACTCCACAGTATTGAGAATTGTAGGTTTGATCCAACCAGTGGTCCATCTACTCTGATCACATGACTGATTACTTTGCTTAAGAGTCTTTGGTATGGACCTTGTCAAAAAGCTTTCTGAAAATCCAAGTACACAATGTCAACTGGATCACCTGCTCATACTCTCAAAGCATTTTGATAGATGGGTGTTTATACTTTACAAAAGCCATACTGAGTCTTCTCCAATCTATTGTGTTCATCTCTTTGTTAATTTTCTTTTTTTTACTATAGTTTCAACCCATTTGTTTCGTGCTGAAAATAATCTCACTGGCCTGCAATTGCCAGGGTGGCTCAGGTGTAGGAACCTCCCTTACATCCTATGCAGTGAGGACTGATGTCAAGAATTCAGTTTGCTACTCTGCAATAGCTTCATCTTCCTTGAGTGCTCCTTTTACTCCTTGATCATTCAGTAGCTGGTTCATGTGGTAGGTTCTCCATGGCATCAGCTGAACCATGCATATAGATGAGGGCTGTGTAAGACCCTAGCGTAATAACCAAACAAGATTCATAGATTCATTTCTCTTCCTTCTGTAACTATGTACACAAACTATTGAGCCCAGTGGACAACAGCTGAGCCAACAACCTCTGCTGGCCCATCGGCAAGAGTTCCACACCTTTAAGAAGGGGTGGCGCTGAGGGCAGAAGGAGTGGGGCTAAACTGCTGCCTAAAATGTGGCAGCACCCCCCCATCCCCTGCCCCTGCAACTCTTACTGCTGCCCAGAGTGTGCCGTGTAGCACTCAAATAGCAATTTAAAGGTCCCAGGACTCTGGCTGCTGCTGCTGCAACTTTGCCTGGGGCGGTGGCTGGAGCCCCAGGCTCCTTGGAATTGTCGGGTCTTGGAGAAACTGCCCTCTTCTACCCCCTCCACCCCAGTCAGTGGGTCTGGTGGCAGTTTTCCTGTAAATAATTTTCTGTTCTGAAAACTTTGCTGTCATGACAGTGTACTGATTTCTAATATTAACAAAAATATATTGCTGAGATTTCAGACCATATTTTGTCATGTTTGTGAGTGTTTGATATATGAAATGATTAAATATGATATATTTTGTAGAATACAGTTGCAGAATGACAGAATCGCATTTTCAAAAAAAATCTCCTCCCAAAAATTTGCAATGTTCTGTGTGTGTTCTTTAGAGTATAAAACCAAAGTGCTGAAAACGTGTAGTGGGTACTCGGATGTCCTAAGTAATCCTGAACTTATGTCCTTGGTCAGTGTACTTGTTCAGTTAATATGCTGCACAGTTCAAGAATTCAGGGATGTGTAGGAGCTCACTGAATTCCAGTATAGTAAGCAAGCACAATTTTTTCAGATTCAGAAGATAAGAGTAGAGTCCTTCACCATAAGATGACATTATTGTTATCATTTACAGTAGGTGTCACGTTTTTTGGCTCTAATCATTTAAAATTTCATTTAAAATTCCTATTGCTTGTCACTTCTTTTTCAACAATTACAGTAGCTTCCATCATGCAATATATTCAGCTATAAGGCATGAAAATAATTGTTCTTTCTTAGTTGATAGAGTACCTTCAGCCCCTTAAACTCAGTTTTCATTAATACTGGTGCAGTGCATCTGCAGTTCTGGAAATGATGTGCCCTATGGCAGAGGAATCTGTGTTCTTCTGCCCAAGGATCCTTATCTCATAGGATAATGTGAAGGCTGATTCACTTCTGTGGAAGAGTCTTCCTGAAATTCCCAGTCTATAGTAGATTTTTTTTTTTCTTGATGCGACTCTTGAAAATGTAGCAATGATGAGTGGGTTGGTATTTTAACCACCTGCATGGAGAAAATCTAGACAGCACAGGCTGAGATTTTCAATTCAAGAATAAGAATCAACTCCCATTGAAAGTCCTCTTTGTATTTTATGAAATCTTACCCTCAGAGGTTAGAATACTAGCAATCAGTCTGCACTAATGGTCCCATTGCTATCTCCAATGTTAGAACATGTTATGAGAACAGTGTCAGTTTTACAACCAAATCAGGGATCTGTTTTAACTTAATACAAGATTTATGAAGAATAGAGTGGTGGGACAGTTAATATTTTTTCCCCAAAATCCTAGCATATGCTCACCTTAGGTTTATTTTTATTCACTATATCTAAACTTTTCATTTCTTGGTACCCTTTTTACTGGCCTACCTGCTAGGTACAACTTTTGGTTGCACTTTTGTGTCCTCCTTTTACTCTGGGAATGACTCCTACAGCATTGTTATACTCTTTAGGTTTCTTCTATGTTTCCTGTCCTGTTACACACACGTGAACAACATAGGTTTGCCAGGTGTCCGGTTTTGACCTGGACAGTTCTGTATTTGAGCTTTCTGTTCGGGAAACATTTTGAGAAAATATAAATGTCTGGTATTTTCTAAATAAGGTGTATTATAGATTGTGATGTAATGTCAAGTGTCTCCAGTATTTTTTTTTAAATCACTTGGCAACCCTAGAACAAGGGAAATCTCCTGCCATTGTCTTCGTCCCAAATGCCTTCAGCACTGTATTCAGCAATTCAATTAAGCAATTTTGGTTCCTGTTTTTCCTGCATATGTTTCTTATTTCTGAAGGATAAGGGCTCACACCTTAAGGACAGATGGATAGAGAGATAGCATGCAAGGGAAAACAAAAAGGGGGATTTTCTGTACGACACAACAAGACTCAAAACCTTTTACCTATGTGAAATGCTTTATTCTATTCACTCATACAAGAGGGCAGCTGGCCCCTTTTTGACTAATCGTGTACTGGACACAATTTGTATCGAGTAGGTTATTAGTCATTTACTCGCTACTTAACATCCTTAATTCCCACAGCAGAATGGTGCTGCAGGTGAGATTAGATTGTTACTCGTTTGAAAAATGTCCATTGGTAAACAGCATTCATGACAAATCACTTGCAAAATGTTTTTTATGAAAGTCTCAGTCCTTCACATGAATGAATTCTGCTCTATTCTCAGATCACTTGTCACAGGAACAATCGGGCTACTGCAGCATATGTGATGCAGTTGTAACTCCTAATCCTTGAAAGACTCTCCACTGCAACTCTGCAGCTGGAGGAAACTGCTGTGGTACCTCTCTCATCTCCTCTGGGATGCTTGTATTTGTCTTATACAAGAAGTGTTAGCTGCAAAGTGTTCAAAGAGCTGCCCAAGCACTCTCCTATTGTATTTTAGTACAATATTCGAGCAAACTGTCCTGTTCTCTTCCTTGACTTTACAAAGACATCCTTTTCCATCTTTGCAAATGACTGAGAAACATGTATATACATAAGTTCTGATCAGAATTATTTCATTCTATGAGTCTGTCTGCCTCAGAAAAGAGAAACAGTCCGGTCCCTGAATCGATTCTGTGGAATTGGGTGGAAAATAGATTCCCCAACGGGGATTCATTTCTTCTTCACAAACTGTTCATTTAATGTTTCATGTCTCCCTTTTTTTTTTTTTTTTTGTGCTCTGGAATACTGCCATAATAAAAAAACACAGAAAGAAAGCCTGCATTTTAGGTGACCAAAGGGAGATTTGTGTCTTAAGTTTGGGAATTTCTTTGGAAAAGAATGCATTCCATTGAAGAAAAGCCAAGAAAAATATTGGCATGATCATTAATTCTACTTTCATTCTGTATCACATCAATTAATTTGAAAGCCAAGGACAGAATGTCGGAAGGTCAGCAAAGCCTATTCTTAAGAAAAAAAAAAGTTCATCTTCTGTTTCTATTACTATTATCTTTACTGTCAGCTGTATTGGCAATGTGTTTTTGTTTCCCAGAAATGTGCATTTCTGGCATGTATTTGTAATTAGGGGAAATTTTTGGAGGCGTTTTGCCTGTGCATTCTGCAGTAGTAGGGTACTATGCAATACATAATGTAATATGATACTTGCATCTTTTCTCTGGGGGTGTTCTCTTCTTTTGGCTGCTAATTCCTTTATTTTAAAAAACATATAACTCCATTTAAGTAAAAAAAGAGAACATTTACTTCATTTCCCTGCTGCCCTTCACCAGGGCCCCAAACCTTTCTTTATTGGCTTCAAGGGTCTGAGACTATCAAGTACCTGCAATTCTCTTTGGCTGAGTTGGAAGTTGTGGCTGCTCACTACTGCTCTGGGTCAAATGCTCTGTGAATCTCCATGATCCTTTAGACTTTCACTGCCCCTCTATCTAATCATTTTCCCTTATAATATTTTCCACCTTAAGTTGGCTGACTTGGTGGTAAATTTAATCCGGTTCAACATAAACTTGAGGGGAAAGAAACAAATTTCCTATAACTTTCGTAAGTTGTTGTAGAACAAATTTTCCATACAACATTTGATACCTCTCCTTCACCAATTGTATGGCCTCGTGACATCTTCCTGTAATCAGAAAAAAGCTTTCTTCAAGGTTTCTGTGCAGATGTTCATTGTTCTTCATTATCTGCTTATGGAAAACACAATTTTAGTTCAGACATAAAACATAAAAAAGTAAGCTTCTAAATGTTTACCCTAACTTAGAGATTTTAGGCAAAAGGAACCATTATAATCATCTAGTGCAGTGGTGGGGAACTTCCCTTGTGTCAGGGACCATTGCCCCACAGAAAAGTCAGCTGGGTACCTCAAACATTCAGTAAAAACTTAAGGGCTAATCCTAGGCTTTGGGTGGGGCCAAAATACAACTGGTTCAAAGTGTGGGAAGGAGCTCTGAGTTGGAGCTGAAGTGAGGTGCAGGAAGAGCTGAAGGTGTCTGCTTGGGATGTAAGAATTTAACTCTCTGCAGGCAGCAGCCCAGAGCCTGCTGGTGTCAACCCGGATCCTGCTGGAGCTGGTGGCAGCCGGTGGCTGTTGGCAGCCCAGAAGCCCTCCTGCACCTCCCTCTCTCCCTACCTCTATATCCAGGTAACTTTTAATTGTGTAACCAATAGAATTTTGATCAGTTACACGGCTACTGTTTTTTATCTATTTTTTTTTTTTTTTTTTACATCCTTAGCTCCAGCTGGGGTGGGGCTTGGGATGAGGAATTACAGATTCAGGAGGAGGTTCAGTGCTGTGGAAGCGGTGTGGGCTATGGTGTTGGGCTGGAGATAGGAGTATGGGGTTATGTTTGGGAGGATTGGGGTGCAAGCTGTGGGAGAGATTTTGGCTCCAAAATGGGGATCAAGATTGGGATGGGAGTGTGGGGTCATACTGACAATTAATCAGTGCACATGTGTTTACAGGTCTTGTGACAAGCTGAGAAAATGAAATGAAAAAAACCTGTTCCCTCATAGCAGAGTACACAGTCATAAAGCACAATACAAGTTTCTCATACATTTATTACTAGGTGTATTGTATTCACCCAGGAATGCTTTCCTCCTTTCTCTCTCTGACGTATTACCCAGTACTCCCACAAATAGCTGTGTTGAATGTATCAAAACATGGGTACAAGTTAGTCCTCTCTAGTCAGCTGTTCATTAAATCATTAATGGTTCTTTTGAGGATGGTCCCTGTTTAGTAAGGACCAGTTCCTACTTTACTGATCAGACCCTAAAGGTCAATGTAATAACTTCACCCATGCTGCTATCAGAAGTGGTCTGCCTTGTCTGTCTATTATGGTATGCTGGTAAATAACTGAACCTTCTATATGTAAGTTCTTTGCATTTGAGGAGATCTTTATTAATGTCGCTTTTGAGAGAGCTAAAGTGAGTGTCTTTTTAGGTGGATGGAATAAAAGCCGTTACTAGAGAAGAGCTTAGCTCTTTTCACAACATGGACCTTTATATACTGCAAGAATGGCTGTTACATTCTCACTCTAGAAATGGTATCGTTTTAGAGACTACAAAAAAAAAATATGCCTTTGGGCATACAGTCTTGTTTAACAGAGCCTTTTTTTCTCTTTACATTTAAAGTAAAAGATTGCTTTCTAAAAACCCTTGAAAATGAATCTACTGTATATCAGTAAAGATCCCTTACACTTAAAACCATTGTCACTTCTAACATAACTGGAGAAGCGTGGCGTAAAATTTTGCTTTTAGTTAACAAATGGATACAATATTGTGTTCTAGTGCATGCATATCATATAACTGCTAAGCTAAACCTTTTATGGTTTATGTAGATTTAAGAATCGAATCTGCTGTATGGTTCATTTATAATATTCCACTCCGATAATGAAGGATCTTTTAACTCTCATGTGAATTTGCTTTAGGGGACTGGAGGCAGCTTTTATGAAAAGGAAAAAGAACTTTCTGTTTCAGACTTACTTCATGTATTTTGTATCTTTATAGCTGAAATGGAAACCTATAAAACTGGATTTTTCCTCCCTGACATTTTATTTACAATATGTGACTCTTCTAGTAGTACATGTTATAGTTCACTGAAGAACTGGCGAGAATAAGCAAGAGTCAATTAGTCTATATTTTGTGTAGCAGATTATATTTAGTAAAATATGCGTTTAATACTCTGGCATATGTGTACATATGTTTCTCTTATTTATTGTTTTAGTGTCTCACTGAGTTAGAAACAGAAACAAACTGTTTTGGCAAATGATTTAGGGATGTCTAGTGTTGTTTGAACTTCTAGTATGTCTCTGCTAAAATGTTGTTTTGTAACTTTGCACAGCAGAGCAGTTTAGTAAATGCGTTTTACACCTGCTTGTAGCAACAGTACTTCAGGGATAAGCCTGTTTTCTCCAAGGCATAAACATGCTGTTGTCATAGTACTGAGCTATGTCAGAACTCCAGCCCTTACCACAGTGAAACAGAGAGACTTGGCACAATATTCTATAGTTGTAAAGGATCAAAACTTGATCCTATTGACTTCAGTGGCAAAACTCTCACTGATTCCAGTGAGGGTGGGAGCATACTGTGTTTCTTACAGTTTCAGTGTTGCTAATGGAAAGGACACTTAATTAATTTGAATACCAAACTTAAATTTTTCTTTTTTTCCCTCTTTTTTAGGAAACAAAAGCCAAATTATGAGATCTTGGAGTTTATATATGTGTAACCTACATACTTAGTGTGGTTTACTGTCCCATATAGTGGCAGTTTAGGCTGAGAGCCAGCTGGCTTTATAGCTCAAGGGTAGAGGCACCAATACTAAGCTCCAGAGATCCCAGGTTCAAATCTCCCTGGTGGTACTTACATAAGCACAGGTGTGAGTTGGATATGCAGATTGTACACTTTGTTCCCAAAGTGTATAAGCAGTTTTTTCATGTATAAAATTGAAATTGAAAAAATATGGGCCCTGTGTGCTAAGTTGAGTTTGCAAAGAAGTAGTTAAAATATCTTTCTAATTACAAAACAGTATGAACAAATCTGGTGTGAAGGCACTGAAAGGCAAATATACATGAAATACTGAGATGTAGCATTGAATTCACAAAACTGTATCAGAATAAAGAAGTTGGCTTCTCACCCACCTTTTAAGAAATAACATGAACATTATATACATTTTGTAGAGGAATACATGCTTTAAAAGACAAGCCTATCTAAAGATAAGTCATTCATCTAGCACTTTTACATGTGTATTTCAATAAAAAATTAGCCTGCAGAAACAGGATTAAAATGGTGAAAAAGTAATTTATAGGGATAAAAAAGTCTTTATATTTTAGGGAGGATAATTTGAACCAGCATGGTAGCAAAAACAGTGCCAGTGTGGATCAGAAAGAAGGCTGCTTTTTTCTCCCATTTTTTAACAAATATAGGTGAAAGTTATATTAATTTTTCATTACTAGAAATTTAAGCTATATTTTATGAAGAGGCCTAAAGACAAACCTTTTTGAAGAAGCATTTCTCTATTTAACATATTTAAAATCATAAGTTGGTAACAACAGCCAGTTTATATTCCCCTTATTCTGTACACCACTGGATCAAAGAGAGATTTCTTTCCCCACTTCTTAAGAAATACAAGTGAAGGTTGCATTAAGTTTTGTAAAGAAATAAACACTTTAAAAGACAAGCCTATCTGAAGAAGCATGTGTTTGTTTAGAATTTTCACATGTGGGATTATGTTTTAGGCACCTATGAACCAGTGGATCAGATATATGAAGGATGCTTCTTTCTCCACTTTTTAAAAAATACAACTGAAATCTATTTTAAGATTTATTTTACTGGAATGTTAAGCTATATTTTATAAATACTTTAAAAGACAAGCCTATATGAAGATACATCCTTTCACTTAACATTTTTACAAGTGTGTTTCAATTTAAAAAAAATGAATACACGGAAACATCCTGGAGTTAAAACCACAGACACTCAATAACAGCTAGTTTATGTTCCCCTCATTCTGTAAACTAGTGGATCCGAGAGAAGTTTGTTTCTTTTGTCACTTCTTAACAAATAGAAGTAGTAGTTATATTAAGTTTGTCACTAATGTTTGAACCTTGGTTTGTTTCTGCAGCATATTTTTTTTAATTGAAACTAATTGGTAAAAGTATTAAATGGTGGAAAAGATGCTTGCGGGTCTGGTTTTTAAGATAAGAATAAGACAGCTAAAGGAGGTGGGGTTAGTTGGCTCTTGTTTAAAAATCTTGGGTCTAGAGGATTGGTTCTATTCCATGATTGATGCCGCTGTAGAACTGCTTTGGCTTGATCTAGCCCAGAGGTGGGGATAACTAAACTTGGGGGGCGGGGCTGTGAGCCTTGGGAGCTCTTTCTTTCTTCAGGAACAGCCTCAAGGGTAAGCTCTCTCTTCCTCCCTACCTCTCTTCCCTGATTCTTTACTTTATTTAGGCTTTTTCTACCTCAGCGTATGCTTCTTATCTTTGCCATTTGCAGTGGACTGTCTTTCCCTCATTTTAAATGTCTCTTTCTTCCTTGTGCCCTTTTAATATTGCAAAGTAACTTTTAAATGCTCTTTTTCACCTAATATTTTAAATGCTTATCTTTTAACCTACCTTTATATTATTTATTATTTTAAAACAACTTTTTTGAATGTTTTTCATCAACTACCTTTATATTTAATATTTAAGTGTTTTTTAAATGCTTCAGTAGTGATCTTTTTACCCTGTGCTTACTCATCTTTACAACAAACTTCACTGTCACTAAACACAGAATTTTTCTCTCTTCTTTAATTTTTTCTGTTTTTGTTCTTTTTCAATTCAGTTCACACAGTTACACTTTCATATCCCTAAATGACTAAACACAGAACTTTCCTCTATTTTTAACTTTTTCTCTAAACCTAGCCAAGCATCTTTCTCTTTTAAAAATTCTTTTATTTAAGGACTCAGTTCCATATTTTAGAAAAAAACTTCTCTGAAAACAGTCCCCTCTCCAAACATAAAAATAAACTATTTTCTTTCAAACTGGCCAACAGCTAAACCTAACCAAAAATCTTTTATAACTTCTGTTCTTTCCTACTTTTTCTCTATACTTGTGTCAAACCAAATATAAAAATGAATCATTTTCTTTCAAAATGGCTGACAGTGCCAAATCTCAAAAGGAATGGCAACAGAAGCAGAGGGTGGACATAAGACCTTAAAAGGGGCATGGAAACCTGCCAGAAAATATGTGATGATGAATATTATTCAGGTATTTACTATTCAGGGGTGAAAGTAACTTAAATTACTTGCAGATCCTGTTGTACTGCAACCCCCACTTTGCTCCTAACTTCAGCTTTGGGGAGTAAGGACAGGAGTATGGGAGCTGGATCAGCCCATCCCCAGCTGGCCACTTTCTTACTGGGCCACACTGGCTTAATTTCACCTTTTGATACTGCTAAAGTTCCTCAACTTTTTACTAAGGCAACTCACTAACTGTATTTTTTTTTGTTTGAAACACACACACTGTCCAAATCAGGGGACAAGGAGTAGGGTGACATAGTCCAATTTCATCCTCTGCCACCTCCTTTTTGTGTACTTAGGCAGCACCGACCACCTGCAGCAGCACTCTCGCCTTGATACCAAACTCTACTCCTGACTTGGTGCAGAGGGGAGGGATATTTGGAGAGTGACTCTATCCAATGCTCAACCGTTAGTGGCAGCTCCTGTCCCATGGGGCTGTGCTCAGATGTTGTGATCTCATGGCGTCACCACATCAGCCTAGATTCTGTCATGACAGAGGGTTGGCTGGGCCAAATTTGAGTGGCATTGTGGCCTGGCACCCAGTTTTGGCCTGGCCACTCATCATATGAGATCCTGGGTACCCAGTTGTAATGCCCAGAGCTGGGATCTCTCCTATCTCAGCAGGGACAGGAACCATTGCTGTGGGAAGAATGGTAGATGGGCTTACTCTGTACCTCCAATCCCACCCCTCCCGAGGTTTCCCTTCCATCCTGGGCCCTCAACCCACCTAGAACTCTTCCAGGACCCATAGGCTATGTCTACACAACAGAGTTTTTTCAGGAAAACAGCCATTTTTCCGAAAAAACTTCACATATGTCCACACTGCAGCCATGTTCTTTTGGAAAAAATCAAAAGAACAGAGGGTTTTTCTGACATTGTTAAACATGTTTCTACAAGGAAGAAGACTTTTTCCAAGAAAGCTCTTTCGGAAAAAGGCATGTGTGGACGGGGAAGCGGGAATTCTTTCGGAAGAAGAGGAAAAAGCACAGGTGCCTTGGTGCCCACTCTGTCCATAGTAATCACAGCTTAAATGTGAGATAGCATCCATTCAGTGTGGATGCTATCTTTCGAAAAAGCGGATCACTTTTTTGATGTGCTTTGGCAGTGTGGACACGCTCTTTCAGCAAAGATTTTTTTCAGAAGATCTCTTCTGGAAAAGCTTCTTCTGAAAGAAGCCTGCAGTCTAGACGTAGCCATAGTTTGTGAAATAGAGCTCTAAGGTGAGACTTGAAATTCTGTCACCTGGGACACTTTAAAAGTATGCCGCACAAATTAAGGAACTGGTTCTGTTCTGGATTTACAGGGAGATGAATTGGGAGCAAGTTGTATGTGCTTACGTCTTTTTCATCTAATGTTTTTGGCTCTTCAATATAATAAGGCCGTTTACTAGACTGCAACCATACTGTTTATAATTGTATTAAATCTTTTTATTTTCAAATCTTTCCAACATTGACAAAAAAGTGAATTTGTCCGTGCAGAAGGGGCAGAATGAGTGTTGGGGATAAGCTTTGCCCAACTTCCTCTTTGTGAGCAAAAACTGACAGAGGCTAATTATTAAACATGACTAAAGGTCAAACAAAGTTTGTTCCATAGAAGCTGCCAAACATTGAAAAGATAACTTGGTAAAACCCTCAACCCACAAATCTTAAAATAACATGACTTTTAGGAGGCTGACATAAAGTTGCAAAAACACATTGGTTAAGAAGTGACAACTGTTGGTTCCCTTTTGTCAGTGTGTGTGTTTTTTTTTTTTTTTTTTTAAGGGGTGTGTGAAGGGGAAATGTTTTCTGCCCCTCAGGTACTTAGTCTAAATTGTACAGGACAGTCCTAACATAATCTACATTTAAACCTATTCCAGCATAAATCCTCCACTGGACAACTATACATAGAATTCAAATTTTACACATTCCCACAGTACTTGGTTATGTTTGAAAGTCCTCGTAAAAGAAATATGTACTATACTAAGAAGGAGTTGATTGTGGTGATGGAGGCTGCTTGGCAAGCAAAGAAAGGCCTGAGGCCAGTACTGAAGAAAAGTGGAGAAAAGAAAAGATGTGGTTAGGCAAGAGATTTGGGGGAAGTTTATAGGCAGAGAGAGAGGTAGGTACTAGGAGGAGATACTGAGCAAGAGATGTTAAAAGGAGTAAACAGTGAGTTTGAATCTTGATGCAAAGACTTTAGGTAGGTGGAGGAATATGAAAAAAGTGAGTCATTACCTTGTACCTATGTTTTGGAGAACCACATCTTGTCATTGGCTTTCTTGTAATTCACCTGTTCCATATTTCTCTTAGATTAACAAAAAGTCCCAATCACTAGTGCTTTTGGTAGCCTAGTATTTAGATGTTTCAATATGGACTGCATTTGTCTATAAGAAGAGCTGGGATGTCCATGAGCATGTTCTGCTGCAGTGCTTGTCTAGTTTAATTTGAGAAGTATTGATGACATCGGTTAAGAATGAGCTATTTTATTAGAAAGATTCCTCTGTATAACAATTTTAAGTTATCCTAACTAGATAAAGGGGAGGTTGTCAATGATTCGATGTGTCAGGACTCTCTTGCAGTGGTTCTTTTTCTGTGCAAAGGGATTCTGTGTAGTGCAATTTAGGGTTTGTTTGGGTTTTTTTAAGCAAAACTGCTTTTCAGTGGAAATTTGGATTTTCAGCAAAACTAGAGTTTCCATTGAAAGTGTATACTTTCCATGGAAAATTTCAAATCTTTAAAATAAATAGTTGGTTCTTCAAAAAAAAATTTTTTTTCATTTGTGTTGAAATTTTTCACAGGCGTGGAAAAAGTAACATTTTTGACTAGCTCTACTTTTGTGATTTTTTTTACATTTGGAATGTTCACTCCCAGTTCCATATTTCTTTTGGAGTGATTTTTTTTTGCTCTTTATTAACTTTTTATCCAAGCCTTTTGAAATTACTGATGCAGGTGTACAAGTAATACAGTGGACATTTCAGTCTTGTACATCTATAGAAAACTTGTATATTTTTGTGGCATAGCAGTGGGTGTCAATGATTTTAAAGAGATGATTTGTTTTGTCTTTGATTTCAGAACTGGCAAATTTATGTGGAAATGAAATTGATTCCTGCTTGAGGCTGCCATCCTAAATAGTAAATGGTAAAAGAATGTGGGATAATCCAAGTCTCCGATGTCGCCTAGCAATAGTTTTCTTATATTTGCTGAGTTTAATTTACAGTCAAGAGACAGGTAAGTGTAGTTTGATGATTTTGCTAGATTGCTTGCTTTTATGAGATGCGCATATTCTATAATTGTGCTGCATTTATTATATACTTAGGGTCAAATAATGCTGCCCCTCTTGGCATGAAAGATCTTAAGAGTAGAAATGCTGTGTCTAATATTTCATGCATCTTGTGTAGCCTTTAACACCATTGCAAAGTTGGTTGCTCCTGCCTCCACAATGGTGGCAATTTATATGTTCTGGTGTTGTTAATGATTATACAGCGAGTAGGGCAACAGAAACTCAGTTCTGCTATGCATAGGGCCTAAACACCATAGAGCAGTGCTGGCTAGGCTAGACTATATGAGAGAGTATTGTAAGTTTACTGGTGGAGTTGAGGGCTCTGGACACTGGATATATACAACTCCATTGGCCAAACACCTGCACACATGGGAGGAACCCATCATAGAAGGTCACAGTTACACATTGTAGAAGGTCTTATAAGCTATAAGAGAGGCCCTGGACCTGCTATTTAAGTATTCTGTCTTCAGCTTTAATATAGCAAATAGGATTCTGTTGCTCTCTGTTCCTCCCAAGTTCTCCTACACAAACCTGTGTAGGTACATTTGAAGTATTTGGATTATTAAGAACTCATGAAGCCAGATGAGTTTAATTCACCAGACTTACAACAGTTGAATTGTCCTTGTCAAAGCTGGGTGGGCTGCATTGTACACATCACACTCCATGTTAACAAGCTGTTTAACTTCCTGTGAGACTCGGATTTTCTTTTTAGAACAGTGGTGATGTGGCTAGCTATGAACTATAGTTTTTGTTCTTATGTTCATTGACACCCCTCAGACATTAAGGGGAATTGGCATTACCTCTTAGGATTGGGTCCTTTCATGGTACAGTAAGAATTTAGTTGACTCAGGCGTTAAACTAAATTAAAATAACAGAAACAAAGGAAAGTCTTCTCACATCTGTGAGTGGAAGGGGAGAACATACTAACAGGTTTATGGCTCTGAGCACGTAAATCTTCTGTGTGCCTCCCTTCATAGAGGCCAGGCTGCTGAGAGAACAGATCCCGGCAGAAGGGAGTCTGCTCGTTACATAGGGCTAAATTCTGATACCCTTATTCCTCTAGTGTAATATCATTGATTAATTGTGTACAGAACTATTCAGTGTCCAAGATTTTCAAAACAAAAAGTGACCTCAGTTTTTGGGTGCCTAACTTGAGATACCGTGGAAGAGACTTATTTTTCAGAGTGTGTTGAGAACCCATCCTCCTCCTCAAGAGGAGTACAGGCAGTCCCCGACTTACGCGGATCCGACTTACGTTGGATCCGCAGTTACGAACACGGACTGCGGGACCGTGCGGTCCCACCTCCCGTGTACTCCTGGACAAGAAAAGCTGCTCCGCGTCTCCCTGGTCTGCAGACCAGGAAGACGTGGAGCAAAGCCGCGGAGGGGCTCTGGCAGCGGAGCAGCCCAGAGG